CACTCCCCTCCCGGTCCCTCCCCGGTCCCCTCCCGTCCCTCCCGCTCCCTCCCGCCCCTCCCGGTGCCGCCCCCCGCCCTCATTGGCCAGCCGGCGGCGATGGCGGCGATTCGCAGCGTGAAGGTACCGGGACCCCCCCCGGACCCCGCGGTCCCCGGGGATGTTTTTGGGGGGTGGGGTCGGGGTCTCCCCTCCTCGCTGACCCCTCTGTGTCCCCCTCCCTCCCGCAGGGCCTGGTGGCGCTGGTGACCGGCGGCGGCTCCGGGCTGGGCCGGGCCACGGTGGAGCGGCTGCTGGAGCGCGGGGCGCGGGTGGTGCTGCTGGACCTGCCCGCGTCCGCCGGGGGCCAGCTGGCCCAGGAGCTGGGCGAGCACTGCGCCTTCGCCCCCGCCGACGTGAGCACCGGGGGGGCTGCGGGGCTCCTCCGCCTTCAGCACGGCGGGGACACCCGCCTGCACACGGGGACACCGGGATCCCCCCGCCGGTGACACCCCACTCAACAGGGGGACACCGGGACCCCCCCCGCCGGTGGTACCCCCCTGCACACGGGGACAGTGTGACGCCCCCCCCGCTGGTGACATTAGCCCTGAGTGTGAGGCCACCATGACACTACTGGTGACCTTTGACCTCTCAGGTGACATCCCACCCTGATGTGGAGCCTCCTTGACCCCACAGGTGGCCTTGGCCAAGGAGGTGGGGACCACCTTGACCCCACTGGTGACATTGCCCCCCCCAGCTCAAACTGGGGCCAGCATGACCTTGACCGAGGAGTCAGGGTCACCTTGACCTTGCTGGTGACATCCCACCTTGTCCTTGTCCCCTCTGATGACATTCCCCCCCTAGCACAGCCCCCAGGTGACCTCAGCTGAGGATGTGGGGGCCACCTTGGCCACCCCCTCGATTTGAGACCACCTTGACCGGGGGGGGGCACTGCTGCCATCCCACCTTAACCCCCCCAGCGGTGACACCCCCTCGGTGACACCCCCAGGTGACCTCTCCCGAGGAGGTGGCGGCGGCGCTGGCCGTGGCCCAGAAGAAGTTTGGCCGCCTGGACCTGGCCGTGAACTGCGCCGGCATCGGCATCGCCGTCAAGACCTACAACAGCAAGAAGGACAAAGTGCACGACCTGGAGGACTTCCAGAGGGTCATCAACGTCAGTGGGGGGCTCGGGGTGGGCTGGGGGGTTCTGGGCAGTGGGATGGGGGTGTCTGTGGTCAGTGGGGTGGATGGGGGGTGACCTGGTCAGTGGGGGGTGACCAGGTCAGTGGCATGGATGACCTTGTCAATGGGTGGATGACCTGGTCAGTGGGTGGATGACATCATCAGTGGGTGGATGACATCATCAGTGGGTGGATGACGTCTTCAATGGGTGGATGATCTGGTCAGTGAGGGGTGACCTGGTCAATGGGTAGATGACCTGGTCATTGGCATGAATGACATCATCAATGGGTGGATGACCTGGTCAGTGGGTGGATGACATCATCAGTGAGTGGATGATCTAGTCAGTGAGGGGTGACCTGGTCAGTGGATGGATGACCTGGTCAATGGCGTGAATGACATCATCAGTGGGTGGATGACCTGCTCAGTGGCATGGATGACCTGGTCAGTAGGTGGGTGATCTGGTCAATGGGTGGATGACCTGGTCAGTGGGTGGATGACATCATCAGTGGGTGGATGATCTGGTCAGTGGGTGGATGACATCATCAGTGGGTGGATGATCTAGTCAGTGAGTGGTGACCTGGTCAGTGGATGGATGACCTGGTCAATGGCGTGGATGACATCATCAATGGGTGAATGATCTGATCATTGGGTGGATGAACTGGTGACTAGGTGGATGACCTGGTCAGTGGGTGGATGACCTGGTCAGTGAGGGGTGACCTCGTCATTGGGTGGATGAGGGGTGAGCTGGTCAGTGAGGGGTGACCTGGTCAATGGCATGGATGACATCATCAATGGGTGAATGATCTGATCATTGGGTGGATGAACTGGTGAGTGGGTGGATGACCTGGTCAATGGGTAGATGACTTGGTCAGTGAGGGGTGACCTGGTCAGAGGGTGGATGACCTGGTCAGTGGTGTAGATGACCTGGTCAATGGCATGGATGACATCATCAATGGGTAGATGACCTGGTCAATGGGTGGATGACCTGGTGAATGGGTGCATGACCTGGTCAGTGGCATGGATGACCTGGGCAGTAGGTGGATAACCTGGTCAGTAGGTGGATGACCTGGTCAGTGGTGTGGATGACCTGCTTAATGGGTGGGTGACTGCATGGATGACATCATCAAATCATCAATGGGTGCATGACCTGGTGAATGGGTGCATGACCTGGTCAGTGGCATGGATGACCTGGGCAGTAGGTGGATAACCTGGTCAGTAGGTGGATGACCTGGTCAATGAGTAGATGACCTGGTCAGTGGGTGGATGACCTGGTCAATGGGTAGATGACCTGATCAGTGGGTGGATGACATCATCAGTGGGTGAATGATCTGGTCAGTGGGTGGGTGACCTGGTCAATGGATAGATTACCTGCTCACTGGCATGGATACCCTGCTCAGTGGGTTGGCTGTAGATGTGGGACTTTGGGGTGTTCCCAGCACAACACAAGGGGCTGTGGGGCTACCAGCAGGGTTTGGTGGCGCCCACAAGACCCCCGCCCCAAATCCTTCTCCGTCCCCAGGTGAACCTGGTGGGGACCTTCAACGTGATCCGCCTGAGCGTGCAGCTCATGAGCCAGAACAAGCCGGACGCCGACGGCCACCGCGGGCTCGTGGTCAACACCGCCAGCGTGGCCGCCTTCGAGGGCCAGGTGAGCGACCCCCGGCCGCCCTGGGAGCCACCGGGGGGGGTCAGAGACCCCTGCGGTGACCACAGCACCTCCCCACAGGTGGGACAAGCGGCCTACTCGGCCTCCAAGGGCGGCATCGTGGGCATGACCCTGCCCATCGCCCGCGACCTGGCCCCGCTGGGCATCCGCGTGGTCACCATCGCCCCAGGTAGGGCCGCCCGGGGGGCACTGCTGGGAGGGTGGGCGGGGGGGGCGCCCCCGTTGACGGCCTGCTTTTGGGGTTCCCCAGGGCTGTTCTCCACGCCGCTGCTGGCCGGTTTGCCCGAGAAGGTGCGGAAGTTTTTGGGGCAGCAGGTGCCGTTCCCGTCGCGCCTCGGGGACCCCGCGGAGTACGCGCACCTGGTGCAAGCCCTGGCCGAGAACCCCATGATCAACGGGGAGGTGGTGAGGCTGGACGGGGCCCTGCGCATGCAGCCCTGAGCCCGGCGGAGCCCCTCGCCCCCAGACCCAAATTTTGGGGTGGGGAGCGGTCACAGAGGGGACAGAGAGCAGAGATGGACGCCGTGGCTGGAGGCTCTCCAGGGACACTCCAGGACGGGAACGCTGCGGGGACAAGGACTGGGGACACCGTATGAGTGGGGACACTCTGTCCTGAGTGGAAACAACCCCCCCGAGTGGACACGACCCCTGCCCCGAGTGGGGACACCCGGGGATTTGGGGACAAACCCCAGGAATGTGGCCACGAGACCACACAGGAAGTTGGGAAACCCCGTGAAGGGGACCCTGCTCAGGTGTGGGGGGTTCATCTCGAGCCCCCCCGGGTGTGGGGACCCCCTCGAGTCCCCGTCCAGCCCCGAGCCCCTCCTCCATCGCAATAAAACGTGTTCGCCCACGCGGCCTCCGAGCCCGGCGATGCCCCGCCTTCCGTCTCTCCCCATTGGCTCGTATCGCTGTCAATCATCAGCACAACCATATGTGATTGGCCGGAGAGGGGGGGTGGGAGGGGGCAAAGCCCGCCCGCACCGGGGCACGCGCGGAACTCGCCGCTGATTGCCTGAAAGCAAAGGTGGTAGCGGGGCGGGGCTTAGCTTGCCACGCCGCATGCTGATTGGCTGGGGCGCCTGTCAATTCAGCGGAATTACGGTGGGCGGGCTCTGCTCTGATTGGTCAGAAAAGAACTTCCGGCGGAAGCGGCTCGTGAGGGGACCGGGACCGGGAACGGCGCCGGGACCGGGAGCGGAACCAGGACGGGGAAACGCGACTGAGAGCGGGCGGCCGCAGCCATGAACATCCGGAACGCGCGGGTGGGCGGCCGGGCAGGGGCAGGGGGGCTCAGCCGGGACTCGGCGAGGGAGAGCCGGGCACCGGCGAGAGACCTGACGGTGATACCGGGCCATGGCGGGAGTTGTGAGGGAAACACCGGGCCCTGGGAGGGGTGTGAGGGGAGCACCGGGCTCTGGCAGGGGGATCTGGGGTTTCATGAGGCGTCTGAGGTGGGGACCGGGCTCTGCAGGTGCTTTACCGGGTGTCAAACCGGGAGAACCGGGATCCGAGGGGGACACCGGGCTTTGGGAGGGGAACCGGGCTCTCAGGGGGGCAGTACCGCATCTCGGTGCCGTTTGGCGGCTCTGAGGTGGGCCCCGTGCGCGGGGGGGTCTCCGAGAGCCCCTGCCGGTGTTGGGCAGCACCGGGGCCGGTTCCGGGCTGACTGCCCCGGTTCCGGTTCCGGTTCCGCCCCTCCCGGCAGCCCGAGGACCTGATGAACATGCAGCACTGCAACCTGCTCTGCCTGCCCGAGAACTACCAGATGAAATATTATTTCTACCACGGCCTCTCCTGGCCCCAGGTGCGGCCCGGGATCCACCCCTGACCCCCCCCGGGACACCGGGACACCGGGATTTAACCCCCCCGTTCCCGGGACAGCGGGATTTAACCCCCCCGTTCCCGGGACACCGGGATTTAACCCCCCAGGTGCCCCGGGACACCGGGATTTAACCCCCACGGTGCCCCTCAGTCTCCCCCTGAAACACCTGGATCCCTCCTAGGCACACCTGAGACCCTGAATTGTCACCCAGGACCCCCTGGATCCCCCCCCAGGGCCCTCACCTGAGCCCCCCCCTCACTTTCCCCCCAGCTCTCTTACATCGCCGAGGATGAGAACGGGAAGATCGTTGGCTACGTCCTGGCCAAGATGTGAGTGTGGCCTGGGGGGGCTTCCCCCCCTTCCCCCCGCTTCTCCTGAGCTTTGGGGGGGTCCCGGGGGGGTCCCCAGGGGGATTTGGGGGTCTCACCCCCCCCCGAACCCCTCCTATGCTCCTGCAGGGAGGAAGACCCCGATGACGTCCCCCACGGACACATCACCTCCCTGGTGAGGGGGGGTCTGGGGGGCTCTTGGAATGGGTTTGGGGGGGCTCCTGGAGGGGTTTTGGGGTCACCTGGGGGTTTTTGGGCTGTCCCAGCCCGTTTTGGGGTCCCACAGCCCGTTTTGGGTTCCTGTGGGGTTTTTTTGGGGTGTCCCAGCCCGTTTTGTGTTCCTGTAGGTTTTTTTGGGGTGTCCCAGCCCGTTTTGGGTTCCTGTAGGTTTTTTTGGGGTGTCCCAGCCCGTTTTGTGTTCCTGTAGGTTTTTTTGGGGTGTCCCAGCCCGTTTTGGGTTCCTGTAGGTTTTTTTGGGGTGTCCCAGCCCGTTTTGGGTTCCTGTAGGTTTTTTTGGGGTGTCCCAGCCCGTTTCGGGGTCCCCTGGGGTTTTTTGGGGTGTCCAGCCCGTTTTGGGTCCCCTGGGGTTTTTTGGGGTGTCCCAGCCCGTTTCGGGGTCCCCTGGGGTTTTTTGGGGTGTCCCAGCCCGTTTCGGGGTCCCCTGGGGTTTTTTGGGGTGTCCCAGCCCGTTTTGGGTCCCCTGGGGTTTTTTGGGGTGTCCCAGCCCGTTTCGGGGTCCCCCCAGGCGGTGAAGCGCTCGCACCGGCGCCTGGGGCTGGCACAGAAGCTGATGGACCAGGCATCCCGGGCCATGATCGAGAACTTCAACGCCAAATACGTGTCCCTGCACGTCCGCAAGAGGTGAGACCCCCCCAAAATCCCAAAAATCCCCCCAAAACCCCCCCAGGAGCACCCCAAAATAACCCCCCCGTTTGTCCTTGGCAGCAACCGGGCAGCGCTGCACCTCTACTCCAACACCCTCAACTTCCAGTGAGTCTGGGCTGGGGGGGTCGGGGGCTTTGGGGGAGCTGCAGGAGGAAATTTGGGGGGGTTTGGGTGGGGGTTGGGACCCCCACCCCATTTTTGAACCCCCAAAATCCCCCCCAGGATCAGCGAGGTGGAGCCCAAGTACTACGCGGACGGGGAGGACGCGTACGCCATGAAACGGGACCTGACCCAAATGGCAGACGAGGTACAGCCCCCCAAAAACCCTCCTGGGACCCCAAAAACCCTGCTGGGGGGCTTCCATCATCCCTGGGACCCCCAAAAACCCTCCTGGGGGGCTTCCAGGGACCCCAAAAACCCTACTGGGGGGCTTCCATGGACCCCAAAAACCCTACTGGGGGGCTTCCATGGACCCCAAAAACCCTACTGGGGGGCTTCTATCCCCCTGAGACCCCGAAAACCCCTCCTGAGACCCCAAAAAACCCTCCTGGGACCTCCAAAAACCCTCCTGGGGGGCTTCTAGGGACCCCAAAAACCCTCCTGGGGTGGCTTACATCCCTCTGGAACCACCAAAAATTCTCTTGGGGGGGCTTCCATCCCCTCCAGGACCCCCAAAAACCGTCTCCATCCTCCCTCTGGGACCCCCAAAAACCCGCTGGGGACTCTTCCATCCCCCTGGGACCCCCAAAAACCCACCTGGGGGGGGCTCCCACACCCCCAGGTGTAACCCCCTCTCTGCTCCCCCCCCAGCTGAGGAAGCAGGTGGAGCAGAAGGAGCGGGGCCGGCCCCCGGCCCCCACCGAGCCCCCCCGGGGTGGGGATGGGGTCTGCGGCTCGGGGGGGCCCCCCTCGAACGCCCCCCCCACGGGACCCCAACAACACCACGAGGACGGGGGGGGCGACAGCAAAGACGTCAGCGAGGTCAGCGAGACCACTGAGAGCACCGACGTCAAGGACAGCTCCGAGGCCTCCGACTCCGCCTCATAGGGACCCCCGGGAGCCCCCCCAAAATCCCTGGGACCCCCGGGAGCCCCCCCAAAATCTCTGGGACCCCCGGGAGCCCCCCCAAACCCCCTGGGACCCCCGGGGACCCCCCTTGGTGCTGTGGGGGGCATTAAAGCCCCTCAGTCTGCAGCCTGTGCTCTGTCTCTGTCTGTGCCCCTGGTCTGGGGGTGCTCGTGGTTTTTTGGGGGGTCCGGGGGCGGGGGGTTCGCCCCCTCGGGGCGGGGCTTGGGTTGGTCACGCCTTCAATACAGCCGGGTGGTGTCGCGCGGGGGCGTGGCCTATGCGGATGTCCCTCTTGCTGATTGGTGAGGGCGCGGCCAGCACCGGGAGCTGCCCGCTGATTGGTGGAGACGCGCGGCTGTGGCGTCCCCGTGCGGGAGGGCGAGGAGGAGCAGGAGGAAACGGGACCGGGAGCGAGGGTGGGGCAACGGGAACCGGACAGGGAACGGGAACAGGACCGGAGCGAGGCTGGGGCAGCGGGAACGGGACCGGAGCGAGGCTGGGGCAGCGGGAACGGGACCGGGAACGGGACCGGAACGGGGAACGGGACCGTAGCGAGGCTGGGGCAGTGGGACCGGAACCGGGACTGGAGCGAGACTGGGGCAGCGCGAACCGGGAACGGGACCGGGACCGGGACGGGGAACGGGAACGGGACCGGAGCGAAGCTGGGGGAACGGGACGGGGAAGGGAACAGGACCGGAGCGAGGCTGGGGAAGCGGGAACCGGGAACGGGACCGGAACGGGGAACGGGACCGTAGCGAGGCTGGGATGGTGGGACCGGAACCGGTACCAGGGCGAGGATGGGGCAGCAGGAACGGGACCAGGACCGGGGCGAGGCTGGGGCAGCGGGACCGGGCCGGCGGCACGCGTGTCGTGTGCTGCTGCATCCGCCACTCCAGGACCGGCCGTGCCGGTGCGTACGGACCCGGCCCGGAGCGTTTCCCCCGCCGCTGATCTCCCCCCGCAGCCCGGTGCGGTTCCACGGGCGGTTCGGGGTCCCGGGGGTCTGGCAGAGCTCGGGGAGCCGGTGCTGGAGCAGGAGCTGCGGGAGGAGCCGGGCCCGGCGGCGACCACGGCACCGCCGCCCCGACCGGGGGATGGAGGCACCGGGATGGGCTGGAAAGGAGGGGGGGTTTCCCCCTCTCTGTGGTGCTGGGGGGGCACTCGCGGGGGTCCCTGGCTCTTTGGGGGTCTCTCTCTCTCTCCCCCCCAGCCCCAGACCCCAACACCTGCAGCAGGTGAGGAGGGGACTGACCCAGGGGAGTCAAATCACCCTGAAATCCCCCCCCAGTTCCCTCGGGGTTGAAGGCAAGTCTCTGTGAATCTGTTAAAACTTTCTCTTTATTATAATATATTTTTAGATATCAAAAGAAAATTTTACAAGTTTTTAACCCAAAATGTACAAAAATGGTCAGGAAATGGTTGTGTTTCTCCCCTTGTGTGGGGTGGGAGGGATTTAAGGGGACCCCCTCACCCCCCAGGTAATGGAGCTGGGGAGATTGGGGATCCCCGGAGGTGGGGGGGGGTGGGGTCATGAAAGTTTTGGGGAGCAGGGGGGTGAAAGGCCTTCGAACACCCTGAGCTGTGTTGGGGGCCCCCAGCCCCTCGTTACCCGCAATGCTGGGGGGGTGGAGATGTGCAGCACCCCCAGATCCCCCCCCCCAGTTAAATTCTGCCCCTGTGGGGGTCTTTCTGTCCCACGGGGGGGTTGGGGGGCTCCTCTGTTGGGATCTCTTCCACGCCACTGCCTGGAGGGGGAGGATTGGGGGACACAAAATCAACGCCTACTCCCCAACCAAGAGGACTCTGGGGGGGGTCGCACACCCCTATTTCCTCAGGTGAGGAGTTTTGGGGTCCCCCCAGGGTAGGGAGAGGGGGGGTCGGTCACATACCGTCCCCATCATCTGGGATCTCCTGCACGTCCTCGTCGTCATCCAGGATCACCACGCAGTCCTCGCCGCTCTCACTGGGGAGGGGGCGTTAATGGGGGGGGTGAAAGTTTGGGGTTCCCTCCCCTGGAGCCCCCCCAAACCCCCCCCCGGGGTGCAGCTCACCTGTCAGGGGGTCCCTCGGCGCCCTCCCCCAGCAGGTAGAACTGGAGCGGGTTGGGCCAAAGCTCCTCCTTGATGATCTGGGGGAGATGGGGAGGTCAGGGGGGTACTGGGAGCACTGGGAGGAGATACTGGGAGCACTGGGCTCACCTCAGCCACACGGTCCCCTGCAGGGAAGCTGTGATCCCCAAACCACGCAAAGAAGCTCCGAGGGGCCGGGGGACCCTTGTGGGGACGGGTCCGGGGGTCCTGCCCCTGCCACCACCGGATCGGGGTCGAGTGGGACACCAGGTGACCTGAGAGGAAGGACAACGCACAAGGGGGTGACTCTGGAGCCCCCAAACCCCCTCGTTGGGCTGTAGAAAGTGGGGGTGCCCCCCCTCCCTGCCCCAACACCCACCGGAGGGGCCGCGCACGAACTCCTTGGCCACGACGTCGTTCTGGAAATAGGGATTGACGCTGAAGAAGAACCGGATGCGGCACCCGGGGCGGCTCTGCCCGAACTCCTCCACCTGCAGGCCCAGGTGTGTTACCTCGGTGTGGGGGGGGGGGGCCACAAACCCCCAAATTTCCCCCCAAAACCCCTCCAGGCACCTGCAAACTCGTCATGTAGCTCAGCGCGTCCTCGTCGCGGTCGCTGATCATGGCCGAGAGCTGCGGGTGGTTCAGGAACTGCGCACGGCGGGGGCGTCAAGGAAAGATGGATCTGGAGGTTCCCCCGTGCCCCCCACCCCAAAACGGATCCCCCCAAGGATACGGCGGTGACCCAGAAGCCGGGGATGTGCTGGATGAGGCGGTTGCGCCGCTGCAGGTGCGGCCGGCGGCGGAGGCAGAAGCGGGCGCGCAGGCGGCGGAAGGCTCGAGCCGCCTCCTCCTCCACGGCCTCCAGCTCCAGCTGCACGGCCTCCAGCGCCGCCAGGTACCGCGCCGGCCCTTCATCCCGCTCCTCCTCCTCCTCCTCGTCCTCGTCCAGGGAGATCACCGCGCTCTCCTCGGCCACGTGCTCCTTGGGGACCGGCACCCCCGCGGGCTCCGGGACCCCCATGAGATCTGGGAGGCCGGGGCCGCCCCGGCTCTGCCCCACGCAGGCTGTGGGCTCCAGGCCCTCCTCGGGCTCCGTGGGGAACTCCACGCCTCCTTTCTGCTCTCTGTCCCGCCTCACGTGGCCAGTGATGGTGGTCTCCGGGCTCCCTGTGTCTTCTCTGGTGGCCTCCAAGTCCTCCAAGCTCTCCCTGCTGGTGTCCAGGCTTCTCTCCCACTCCAAGCACGGGGGACTGGCAGTCTCTACGCTCACCCTGGGCCTCACAGGGGTCTTTGCCTTGCGCCTGCTGGTGCTTTTTTGCTCCCCACCAGAAGAAGCATCACTCTCCATGCTGCCCAGGACCTTGGTGGTGGTCTCCAGGCCCCCCTTGCTCCTTCTGCCTTGCTCCAAGCAGCGAGTGACGGCTGTCTCCAGGCTCCCTTTGCGCCCATTGGTGGTCCCAGGGCTCCCTGTGACCTCCCTGCTGGTCTCCAGACCACCCGTGGCCTCGCTGGTGGTCTCCACGCTTCCCTTGGATTCCATGGGAGCCTCCGGGACACCCTTGTTCTTCTCCAAGGAGTGTGTGACAGCAATTTCCAGGTCTCCCATGGCCTCTCTGGTGGTCTCCGAACCCCCTTTTTCTTGCTCCAAGCAGTCACCACTTGTGTTCTCCAGGCTCCCTTTGCTTCTGTTGATGGTCTCCAGGTCCCCCTCGGCCTCCTCGGTGGTCTCCAGGCTGGCCATGACCTTTCCGGTGACCTTCGGCTCCCCCGTGCCCTCCCCGGGGGTCTCCAGCCCCTCCTTGGGGGTCTCCAGCCTCTCCCCGGCCAAAGCCGCGATCTCCGGGCAGCCGCCAGGGGGCGCGCGCGCGTCCCCGCCGCAGCCGCCCCGCGCATGCCCGGACCCGTTGCCCCGCGCGCGCGCGCTGCGGCCCTCACCACGACCTCCGGCGGGGGTGGGGGAACGAGCCGTCTCCCCGCGGCTAACGGCGGCGGCAGGGCCCGTCCCGGTGGGCTCGTCCAGACGGCGGAGCTTGGCCGGGGACGGTCGGTCTGTCCCGGCCCCGGCCCCGCTCATGGCGGCGGCTCCGGCGCCCGCCAGGGCCGAAGCAGCGGCCGAAAAAGCGCGCGCGCCGCCGCCGCCGCCGCCGAAGCCCCGCCCACCCGCTCGTCACTCGCGCGCTGCCCATTGGCGGGTTGCCATGGCGACGCCCGTTCACGCGGGGCGGGCGGGAAAGGGGCGGCCAATGGGAACGCGCTGCTTTGGCGGGCTCGGGGAGCGTGGTGGGCGGGGCCAGGGGAGCCGCGCTCATGCGCAGCGCGAGGAGCGCACGTGCGGGCGGCGCGAGAGCCCCGCCGTGAGGGGAGAGGCCCCGCCCCCCTCCCGCCATGAGGGGCTGAGGGAGCGTGAGGGCAGCGGACCCTCCCGGAGGGGACGGGTTGCCACCCACACTGTCACCTGAGGGACTGGGACCCTCCCTCAGGGGCTGAGGGACCACAGGAGCAGGCAGGACACCCCCGGAGGGGACAGGATTTCCCCCCCTCCTCAGTGAGTAGAGAAGGGCTGGAACCACCCACCATTACCTGAGGGGCTGGGACCCTCCTGCAGTGACTTAAGAGGGGCTGCCCCCCCCCCCCACCATTACCTGAGGGGCTGAGGACCCATGAGGGCTGGCAGGTGCCCCCACTGTGGCTCCAGAGGAGCTGAGACCCCCACACGATGTCACCCAAAGGACTGAGGGACTACAGGGGGAGCAGAACATGCAGAGATGACAGGATACCCCCACAGTGAGTCCAGAGGGGCTGGGACCCCCCCATAGCGACTTCAGAAGGGCTGTGTCCTCCCACCCCCCCACCCTGCTGTCACCTGAGGTGACAGGAGGGACAGGACCACCAGCCACACTGTGACTCCAGAAGGGCTGGGACCCTGCCACACACACACACTGTCACCCAGAGGGCTCAGGGACTGCGGAGGATGCGACCCCCTCTGTCACCTGAGGGACTGCCACCCCATACAGGGGGGCTGGGAGTGTCCCCTAATTGTCACAGGGATCACTGGGACACTGCCCACAGCGAGTCCTGAGGAGATGGGACCACCCCAATGTCACCTGAGGGCACAGCAGCCTCCTTGGGCTGGGTGCAGGGCAGGGAGGACCCTCCCTGAGCACTGGGAACGCCCTTGGCAGCTTCACTGGGGGCTGGGGACCCCCTTTGGCCACCCCCAGGAGGCTCAGGACCCCCCCCAGCTGCTCCCAGGACACTCGGGACCCGCTAAGTGCCTCCAAGGAGCCTTAGGACCACTCCCCACTTCATCCTAGGGGACTCGAGACCCCCTCCCCAGCTGCTTCCAGGACACTCAGGACATCCCAGTTCTCCAAGGGGGCTTGAGACCCCCTCCCCAGCTGCTCAGCGGATACTCAGGACCCCACCCAGTTCTTCAGGGGAGCTCAGGACCCCCTCCCCAGCTGCTCCCAAGACATCCAGGACCCCCCAGTTCTCCAAGGGGGCTCAAGACCCCCTCCCCAGCTGCTCCCAGGACACTCAGGACCCGCCAAGTGCCTCCAAGGAGCCTTAGGACCACTCCCCACTTCATCCTAGGGGGCTCAAGACCCCTGCAACTGCTCCCAGGATGGAGCTCAGGACCCCCTCCCCAGCTGCTCCCAGGACACTCAGGATCCCCCCAGTTCTTCAAGGGAGCTCAGGACCCCCTCCCCAGCTGTTCCCAGGATACTCAGGACCACTCCCCACTTCATCCTATGGGGCTCAAGACACCTGCAGCTGCTTCCAGGACACTCAAGACCCCCTCCCCAGCTGTTCCTAGAACATTCAGGACCTCCCAAGTTCTTCAAGACCCTCTCCCCAGCTGCTCCCAGGATACTCAGGTCCCCCTCCTCATCTGCTCCCAGGACACTCGGGACCCCCCAAGTGCCTCCAAGGGGCCTTAGGACCACTCCCCACTTCATCCTAGGGGGCTCAAGACCCCTGCAGCTGCTCCCAGAACACTCAGGACCCCAACCTCAGCTGCTCCCAGTACACTCAGAACACCCCAGTTCTCCAAGGGGACTCAAGACCCCCTCCCCAGCTGCTTCCAGGACACTCAGAACCCCCCCACTTCTTCAAGGGAGCTCAGGACCCCCTCCCCAGCTGTTCCCAGGGCATCCAGGACACCCCAAGTTCTTCAAGACCCCCTCCCCAGCTGCTCCCAGTACACTCAGAACCCCCCCACTTCTTCAAGGGAGCTCAGGACCCCCTCCCCAGCTGCGCCCAGAACATCCAGGACCCCCCAAGTTCTTCAAGGGGGCTCAAAACCCCCCTCCGCAGCTGCTCCCAGAACATCCAGGACCCCCCAAGTTCTTCAAGACCCCCACCCTATTTGCTCCCAGGATATCTGGGACCCGCTGGCTGCCCGCAGGGGGTCACAGACCCTTCTGTCACGACATGACACGACAGCCGCAGGTGAGCCTGCCCCATCCCCGGGGGGCCGTTTGTCACCCACGGCCCCGTGACCTTTGCTGGGACCTTCCCCGAGGGCAGGAAACGGCTGCGACAGCGCCGGCAGAGGGGGGGGACCCGGCCCCCACCCCTAAACAGAGGCACACAACCCTCTCCTACCCCCCCACCCCAAATTTCCCCCCCTCAAAGCGCCCCCCATGACAAGAACTCGGGGACACCATCGTTCCATGGCTGTATGTACACAGGGGCGCCCCAAAACCCGCGTGGAGTGCACATGACTCGGGGGGGAGGGAGGGGGAGGATGTCCCACAAAGTGACAGTGCCCCCACCCCGGGGTGGGGTGGGGGGGCAATTTGGGGGTGCCCTTCCATTTGGGGGTGCCCTTCCATTTGGGGGTGCCCTTCCATTTAGGGGGTTCCCTTGACCGCCCGCCCCCCACCCCCAGATTGATTTAGGGGTGTCCCACGTTTTCTAAGGTGGAATGGTGTGTGGGGGGGCTGTGACTTTTTGGGAGGTGACAATTTTTGGGGTGGTGACAATCGGGGCTCCCCCCCCCCACCCCCCTCACGTGAGCCAGGCCAGTGCCAGGTAAAGCCCCAGGGCCAGCGCGGCCGTGGGGCCCCCCCCGTCCCCCCAGGCCACCGGCACCAGCACGGCCAAGGCCAAGACCACCCCGCACCCCCTCAGGGCCCCCCCCAAACTGCTCCCCCTCCCCCGGGGGGGCCGCGCCGGCACCACCAGCGCCCCCTCCACCGGCCCCCCCCTCCCCAGCAGCACCGGGGGGCTGCACCGACCCCCCCCCTCGTAGCGCAGGGCCATCTCGTTGGCCAGCGAGGTGTTGGGGGCTCTCTCGGGGAATGGGGGCCCCCCGTTTCTCGGGGGGGGGTCGCTGTCGCCGGGGTCCCCCCGCAGCCGGCGCAGGTGGGACAGGTAGAGCTGCTCCAGCTCCCGCGCCACCGCCTCGTCCTCGGCGCCCTAATTGGGGAGGGGGCACAGTTTGGGGTACCCCCGTCCTCGGGCAGGCACGGTTTGGGGTACCCCGTTCCTCAGGGGAGGGGGGCCCCCCAGTTTGGGGGGGGGGAGGGTGTTGTCTCACCTGTGCTGGGGGCTGCTCCGCATCCGGGGGGGGCGTTGGGGCAGGGTCAGGCTCTGTGGAGGGAAAGGGGGGGGGTGAGGGACCCCCAAAGTGCGGGGGGATCCCCAAAATTGGAGGTAGCCCCAGTAATCGGGGTGCACCCCCAAATTTGGGGGAGCGATACTTACCTGTGCTGTGCTCGGGGGGTGGGGGCTGCACATCCTCCGCCTCCTGTGGCCTTTTGGGGGGACACGGGTGTGGGGGGGGGTCACCGGAGAGGACCCATTCCCCCCCTCCCCCCGGCCCCCCAATTTAGGGGTGGGGGGGCAGCATCTGCACCCCCCCCAGAGTGTGACCCACATTCGAGCCCCGAGGGGTCCGGGGGGGAACCCAGGCATGCGCCACAGCCCCCCCCTCAATTTCAGGGGACACATGCGGGGGGGGTAGGGGGTTAACCCCATTTTGGGGGGGGCGACCCCGTTTTGGGGGTCCCCCATGCAGACGGGATCCCCGGGGGAGGGGCTGTGAAAAGGAGCTCCCATCCCCCACTCTTGGGTTCAGTGGAAGGAAGAGACCTGGAGACCCCCGGGGTGGGGGGGGTCACAAAGTGGGGTTTCATTCTTGGGGGGGGGGCAAAGTGTGTGACCCCCCCTCCCCCCCCGCCCCCCAATGTCTGCAGAGTTAAAAGGGGTCCCGCAGGACCCCTGAGCGGCCCGGGGGATGTTTGGGGGTGTCGTGGAAATTTGGGGGTGCTTTGAGGGGCTATTAATGGCCCCCCCGTTTCTATGGTCTGGGGGTGCAAAGAGGGGTCCCCCCAATGTCTGCTCCCCTTGGGGGGGGGTGGGGGGTCCCCCCAATCTCTGCTCCCCTTGAGGGGGCCATTAGCACCCCTAAACACCTCCCAAGGGGATTTTGAGGGGTCCGGGAGCTTGGGGGGCTCACGGGGGGTGGGGGCTTTGAGGGGGCTTTATTGGCTCCCCCCTCCGTGTTCCCGACACTCCCGCACCCCTGGCAGCGGTATTGGGGTTCCCTTCATGACCCCCCTCCCCTCCCCCCCAAAAAAAGGAGCCTCAGCACACGTGAAAATTTGGGAACCCATGGGAAAGGGGGGGTGTGGAGGATTTGGGTCCCCCAGGACCCCCCCAGGTGTGGGAGGGTCCTCTGACATCACCGTGGGGGGGCCCCATAAAAACCGGGGTGCCGGGGCGGGCAGCACACGGGGTTCAAGCGGTGAGCGGATTTTGGGGGGGGGTCCGGGGGG